GAGGAAAACTCGTGCTTGGCAAGGATGGAGGGAGGAGGAGAGCTTCTCAGGGTCCTAGACAAAAGAGAAACCCTAGAAGTGATGGATGGAAGAAGCAGTAAGGTAGAAATTTCTAATAAATATTTCTGCTGTAGACCTGGAAAGCAGCAGTGTTATATTTCTGTATCATAGGCGGGTGATGACGGTTTTTCTAGCTCATTAGTAACCAAGGAGAATTTTATACAAGGTCCAATGGAGATAAACATTTTTAAATGAAAAGGCCCTGACAACTTGCACCCAAGAATCCCTAAAGAGTTGTCATGCGATGTTGGTTTTTAATAAAGCTTACGGACTGGGAAGATGCTGTCAAGAGCTGGTCGGGGTAACGGTGGGAGAGTTGGCAACACTTTGCTTATCTCTTCTGGGCAAAATAATTGAAGAGATGATGTAAGATTCAATTGATAAAGAATTAAAGGATAGAAATTCATGCCACTCAACTTAGATTTATGGAATATAGATCTTGTCAAATAAACCTGATTTCATTCTTCCAGATGACAACTTTGGTTGATAAATGTAGATGAAATAGACTCTGCAAGGCGTTGGATGCGGTGCTGCGTGACATTGTGTGTAGGAAGACCGAGCACTGGGCGGTATCGCTACCACGGGCGATTAAGAGCCGGCCAACAGATTTGGGAATGCGGGGGCTTAGCTGGAGAAGCTTCGGTGGATGGGAGAGGTCAGCAGGGGCTCCTGGGAGCCGCAGCGGTGGGTAGCATTTCGTTGGTGGTTTAGAAAAGAATATGCAATTATGACTGATTAGTGTTGTGGATAAAGCAGAGGCGGGTGGACGGATGAAGAGCAACAGGGATGGGTTTATGGGGTGGTTTGGAAAGACTGTCAGGCGGGGTGTGTTGAGAGCACGGTTGGGTACGGCCTGCCGTGGTGCCTGGCTAGAAGAGGGGAATTGGGGCTGTGCGAACAGATCCAGGGTGCGGTACCCCAGAAGACAGCAGCTCTGCGGGAGGCTTAGCGGAAAACCAACTCCTTCCCAGCATGATGCTGGGCTGAGAAGGGCTAGGCTGGTCCTTGTGTAGTGGAGGAGGATGGAGGGGTGGCTTCAGGATGAAAAAATAACTGTATTTTGAAGCGTGCCTTGATTTCAGGGTGCACAAGTACCCTTGGGGTGTGTGGGGGGGCACATTGCCTACTAAGGGGCTTTTCAGTGTGTCGGCCAAAAAAAAACCTCAACAGAAGAAGAGAACGGGTAGAGGCTGGAGCCAGAGAAATTCGGGTGGACCCCAGTACCCATCTGTGAGTGTGGTTAGCTGTGGGAACTGACTGTGGTGGCAAGCAGTGGGTGCTCGTCTTGTCTTCTGAGCTGGTTTGAACGGTTTTCACTGGGATTTCATGCTTTGCCCTAAAGACTGTTCGCGGGGCTGGAGGAGGTTACACTTTACTCAAAGACACATCGCGTTGGCCACGGCACAGGACAACTGAGTGACATGTAATGCAGGAAAGGTCAGAGAGTAAGAGCTGGTAGGCCCTTTCGCCCTTAAATTCCTTGACGCGAAGCAGCCGAGGACATGGGCTCCAGCTCCGCTGCCGGTGGCCATGCAGGAAAGGTCAGAGAGTAAGAGCTGGCAGGCCCTTTTGCCCTTAAATTCCTTGATGCAAAGCAGCCGAGGACATGGGCTCCAGCCCCGCTGCCGGTGGCTGAGGAGGGCTGGTTCAGAAGTGACCCTCTTCGCATCTCGATCTGAGGGATTCCCGCCAGCCGCTTGGAAATCGGCCGAAAGCTCCGATGGCGTTGCAACGCTGCTTTGGATAACACGTCCCATCACATTGCCCCGGTGGATGATGAGGCACCAAGAGCCCCGTGGGACCTTCTCCGGCTCTGTCCTTGGCCAGCACCGGCTACTGCATCTTCCTGCTGTGCTTTCCTCACTTGCCCGTGGTCTTGCCCGGATGCTTTAGCTGGGAAGCCCGTGTGGACGTAGAGGCTGGCCCATAGCTAGGAGACATCAGTGGATCCACAGCCTTCGGGTCCTACAATCCCATCCGGCTTTTGGGGGGACCCGAACGCTGTACCAAAAAGCATGGTGGTGGGATGGGAGGAAGGAAAGGCGAGTCCCTTCCAAAACCAGGGGTTGCCGGGGCGGTCTAAGGACCCGTCTCGCCGCTGGTGGGCAACGCGTGGATTAGCGCCGTAATTCTTGCAGTTTGGCAAGGCTGCATCAGACTGGAACGTATCTCTAGGTGGTGATATGGTCAGTCAATAGCCTTCATAATTAATCAAGCACTAATAGACAAATTAGAAATCATGTCTCTTCAAAGCAGGAGGTGGAGGCAAATAGCTGGTGGATTTTAACTGTTTCGCTGCTTTATTTTATTGCCTGGTTTTATGTTGCTCCCTTGAAAATGGTGGGTTGTTTAGGGAAGTTTTGTACATAAACATGATTTTAAATTTAAATTATTATCTTGATTACCAAATGCGGACACTGAATTGAAAACTTGTTTTTCAGGCAAACAAATGAAGAGTAATATTACGTTTTACACTCCACTAAATCAATGTAGCCCTAATTTTGCCATGCAGGAAATCAATTCCAGTCTTTATAGCAGTCGAAGATGTTATGAACAAAGTAATTTTGCAAATTATGGCAAGTAACACATTTATTGATGACTGTAGTTTAGGAATTTAGAATTTGTGAGCGCTGTAATATAATAAGGCTGTACTGGCAGGAGCTGAGTGAAATACAGATTATACGGTGAAACTGTAATGCATCATTTGCTATTAGTGGACTGGTAATAATTACCAGTTTCAAAGCAGCTTTTTCCATGTAATCTTTAGTCTCAGTCGTAACAGCCCTTCTCATTGACATTATGATTACACAAGCTGCCCTTATGATCTAGAATATCTAGTTGATGGGAATACTAAAATGTGGTAGCGAACGCTCGATGTTGTATCCTCATTATAAGATAAAATGCTATTTTCTCTGACCTGATCTATAAGGTAGAGAGGTGAGGTAGCGTTACATTGTTAGCTCCTACCGTGGTGTTAAAAACTTCCACTTCATTACGGCGAAGCAAGATGAAATTTTCCTATTTAAGATTTTTTTCCCTGGCTCACAAATGAGCATAGGAATGTGAAAGTCCAATTGAATTTCCCTCTAATTTCAGCAGATTTAAGTATTTCTCTGCGCTCGCATGCCTGGCACATACTAAACACCGCAATGCATTTTATTCCGACACCGGCTTCAGGATGAAACGTTAACTATTATTCCGAGGGCTTTTAAAGTGATTAAAGTGTTAAATGCCTGCTGTAGACGGCCGAGTCTCTTTGTACTCGCCTGATTCAGCTTGTCAGGCCAAACGTAGAATAACCACAGAGCTGGGAGGCAGGGAGGAAAGCTGCGACGGGGCGCTACAGCCGGCGCTGCGGGCTGCCTGCCTCTCGTATCCCCAAATCGCCATTCAGCTCGCCGGAGAACAAAAATGCCCACACGAAGCTTTTTTTCCCCTCCTCCCAAGTGAGATGGGAAGCAAGATGGGCGCAGAAAAAGCGATGTTTTCTTTCCAAATCTGCCTCATTTCTTTTTTCTTTTCCTTTCCTTCGTATCAGGCAAACAGGGGAAACCTAATGGGGGCAGCTCTCAGTGCAGCATGTAAAGACGTTTACCCAGGAGTGGTGCCTGTGGAGCAGATGCCTCGTGACGTAGATGTCGGGTCAGGGCAGGGGTACGTGGTGCGGGCAGGTACCACCCCAAGCACTGATGTCTTTGGAGGGCTCCTGCGGTTTATTCAGGCCTCAAGAGCGTGTTTTTTTGTTTCAAATATCACTAAACAGCAGCTCTATGAGAACTGCTGGGCAGGGCTGGAAATGAATTTTTATCCTCCTCTTAGCTCCGGTTTCAGTTTACCAGCATTTAGTAAAAGACATCCATAGGGGGGTGGAAGTGAATTATTCGCGAAATTACAGTAATCAATAAAAGCGCACTCACCTTCGCCATATGTCACGCCACTCCTTCCTCGTGGGCAGCCCTCAAAAAGTTATTCATCCCCCTTGTTTTGCCGTATATTAGAAGGGGCTGCTTTCTGCTGTCATTATTAGCCGGCTTTTTGTTTAGTTATTTATTAGTTGGTTGCTCTTTTATAATGTCCGTGTTATCTCCAAAAATAAATTATCATGAAATAGAGTTAGCTCGCTACTTGCCAAAGTGGCATTTACCATCCTCAGCTTCTTTTCAGTGCAAGAGAAATAATGCGGCTCCGGCAGGGCGCTCGGCCAGGCCTCCTGGCCACCCTCCAGCTATTTCCCTGGCGGAGCTGCTGCTCTCCCTGCCTTCCCCTCTCCCTGTCCCGCACACTATTTTATTTCATTTTCTTTTTAAATTTTTTTTTTTTTTGCCCCAGAGTCGAATCTCTGCTAAGGAGCACGAGATGCTGCCTAATTTTGTACACATTGTTAGTCTCTCAAAATAAGGAGAAGGCTAATAACGTGATGTTGCCCAGCTTGCTAGCAGTTGTGATGCTTTGGGTTGCTGCTTTGAACCGATGTACGTGGTTTTCTGGAGTGCTTTTCAGAAGGGGATTTATTTATTTTATATCTATCTATCTATCTATCTATCTGTCTATCTTTATTTATTTATTTATTTCTCTCCAATTTAAATGTTAGCAGCCTCTTGCAGCATCAAGTCTGCCGAGTCGTAGCTGGCATCAATTGACTGAATCATCTGTCTTTTTTTTATAGCTTTTTTTTGCTGCGGTTACCTGCCAGGGTTCGGTTTTGAACCCAGGACTGGGGATGGCGGGAGGAGGTGGGCGCGTTTCGGGTGGGTTTGGACCTCCCCATCGCACCCCTCGCCTCCTCCCGTCCCCCTTCCCCTGCCTGCGCCTGAGCTGGGACGTCCCTTCCCCAGCTCCCAGCTGAGCGTCCCGGAGGAGAGGAGCTTAGGCGGGGAGGCGAGCTCTTGCCCGCCGGTGGGCGGCCGGAGATTGACGCTGCTTGTTGTGTTATCTTGCAGGTAAAGACGAGCCCAGCAGCTACACGTGTACGACTTGTAAACAGCCTTTCAACAGCGCCTGGTTCCTCTTGCAGCACGCACAGAACACGCACGGCTTACGGATCTACCTAGAAAGCGAGCACGGCAGCCCCCTGACGCCACGGGTTGGTATCCCAACAGGACTAGGTGCAGAGTGCCCTTCCCAGCCACCTCTCCACGGGATTCACATTGCAGACAATAACCCTTTTAACCTGCTCAGAATACCCGGCTCGGTCTCGAGGGAGGCGTCGGGGCTGGGAGAAGGGCGTTTCCCACCCACGCCGCCCCTCTTTAGCCCTCCCCCGAGGCACCATTTGGATCCGCATCGCATTGAGCGCCTGGGTGCGGAAGAAATGGCTCTGGCCACCCATCACCCTAGTGCCTTTGACAGGGTGCTGCGACTGAACCCCATGGCGATGGAGCCCCCCGCTATGGATTTCTCCCGGAGGCTGCGGGAGCTGGCCGGCAACACCTCCAGCCCGCCCTTGTCCCCGAGCCGGCCCAGCCCTATGCAAAGGTTGCTGCAGCCCTTCCAGCCCGGCAGCAAGCCCCCGTTCCTGGCCACGCCACCCCTTCCTCCTCTGCAGTCCGCTCCTCCTCCCTCCCAGCCGCCCATGAAGTCCAAGTCCTGCGAGTTCTGCGGGAAGACCTTCAAGTTTCAGAGCAACCTGGTGGTCCACCGCCGGAGCCACACCGGGGAGAAGCCCTACAAGTGCAACCTCTGCGACCACGCCTGCACGCAGGCCAGCAAGCTGAAGCGCCACATGAAGACCCACATGCACAAGTCCTCCCCCATGACGGTGAAGTCGGACGACGGGCTCTCCACCGCCAGCTCCCCCGAGCCGGGCACCAGCGACCTGGTGGGCAGCGCCAGCAGCGCCCTCAAGTCCGTGGTGGCCAAGTTCAAGAGCGAGAACGACCCCAACATGATCCCCGAGAACGGGGACGAGGAAGAGGAGGAAGAGGAGGAGGAGGAGGAGGAGGAGGAGGAGGAGGAGGAGGAGGAGGAGGAGGAGGAGGAGGAGGAGGAGGGGATGAGCCTGGAGGCGGCCCGCCACCATGAGAACAACTCGCGGGCCGGCGAGGAGGGCCGGTCGATGCCGGACGTCATGCAGGGCATGGTCCTAAGCTCCATGCAGCACTTCAGCGAGGCCTTCCACCAGGTCCTGGGGGAGAAACACAAGCGGGGCCACCTCCCCGAGCCTGAGGCGCACAGGGACACTTGCGACGAAGACTCGGTGGCCGGCGAGTCCGACCGCATCGACGAGGGGGCGGTCAACGGCCGGGGCTGCTCCCCGGGGGAGTCCGCCTCGGGAGGCCTGTCCAAAAAGCTGCTGCTGGGTAGCCCCAGCTCCCTGAGCCCCTTCTCCAAACGCATCAAGCTGGAGAAGGAGTTCGACCTGCCGGCCGCCGCCATGCCCAACACCGAGAACGTTTACTCCCAGTGGCTGGCGGGCTACGCCGCCTCCCGGCAGCTGAAGGACCCCTTCCTCAGCTTCGGCGACTCCCGACAATCGCCCTTCGCCTCCTCCTCCGAGCACTCCTCGGAGAACGGCAGCCTGCGCTTCTCCACGCCGCCGGGCGAGCTGGACGGAGGGATCTCAGGCCGCAGCGGCACGGGAAGCGGAGGGAGCACCCCCCATATTAGTGGCCCGGGCCCTGGCAGGCCCAGCTCAAAAGAGGGCAGACGCAGCGACACTTGTGAGTACTGTGGGAAGGTCTTCAAGAACTGTAGTAATCTCACCGTCCACAGACGGAGCCACACGGGCGAGAGGCCGTATAAGTGTGAGCTTTGCAACTACGCCTGCGCCCAGAGTAGCAAGCTCACCCGGCACATGAAAACACACGGGCAGGTGGGAAAGGACGTTTACAAATGCGAGATTTGTAAGATGCCTTTTAGCGTGTACAGTACCCTGGAGAAACACATGAAAAAATGGCACAGTGATCGAGTCTTGAATAACGAGATAAAAACTGAATAGAGGTATATTCGTACCCCCCCATCCACCCCCATCCCTTCCCCATCCCGCGTCCCCGTAGAGGTTTTCTAGTCCCTTGTGATGGAAATCATGGAAGCTAAGGATATTCGGAAAGTGCTTGTCACCAGCACACCCTGTTTATTTTCTTTTTGTTCTCACCGTTTGAATGCATGATCTGTATCGGGGCAATACTATTGCATTTTACGCAAACTTTGAGCCTTTCTCTTGTGCAATAATTTACATGTTGTGTATGTTGGGTTTTTTTTTTTGTTTTGGTTTTTTTGTTTTTGTTTTTTTTTCTAATACCCAGCCACGGAACATGACTTTGGAGTTAACAACCTGGAAACTTAGTTTGCCCTGACCTGCTGGCTTGAGGTGGTCAGCGAGACGGGCGGCTACTGGAAAACCATCAGATGCAAAAAAAAAAGAAAAAAAGAGGAAAGGAAAAAAAAAAAAGAAAAAGAGAAAAGCGAAACAAAACCAAACCCGAGAGCAAACAAAACCGACCATGCTGCATACATCCTGTAATACATATCATGTACAGTTTTGTTTTGTGACGTGCGAAGGAAAACATGCTTTGGGTAACCTTCTACGGACAGGACCGATAGCACCGAAGAAGCGTTGCGTTAGCTAGATTGCTGTCTTAAAAGAATAAACCCACCGATTGGAGAAAGAGTACCCATTAGGAAAAAAAAAAAAGGCCTTTAATTGGAAAGTAACCGACCGCCACCAGTCAGAAAGAGGTAAATTTCTATTAGCGTTGGGTGTAAAACAGACACACACAAAAATAATCTGAGTGCCTTGGATCTGTCGCGGCCGATGCCGATGGCTCCTTTCTGCTCGTCCTCCACGCGTAGCTCGTCTCCACGTCGGGCGCGGGGGGGGGGCTCTCCCACCGAGCGTGCGAGTCCGTCTCGTGTCTCTTACAACGCCGGCTACCTAAGAACGAAGAGGAAAGAGAAAACTAAGGAAGAGAAAGAAATGACCCGCTCAGTCCTAGTTAATCATCATTCTCCCCTGCCTTTTATTATTATTGTTATTTTTTTTTAAACCCGAACTGATCATACCAGTCTAAAAACCCGCTTCGCTCCTGGAGAGAGCTTAAAACGAAATATAGGACCTTTTCCCCCCCACAAACTTTTATTCCCCCCCCATTGATGATTAAATAGAATGTGAAATGCGCAGAGGCCCTTCAACGCCATTAAATACACAAGTAAGGAAATCCGTTTTATGAAGATATTTACTTTTAATAATACCTTTTATTGAAACTGACACCAAAACAAATAAATCCGGAGCCACTTGGTTGTCAAGCTGACAATCAAATTATAAACTTTAAGACCTCGTGTATACCGTATAAAAAAATAAAATAAAAAAAAGACTGGCAATAATATTTTACCGAGTGTAACGGATAGAGGAGCAAAAAAGAAAAAAAAAAAAAATTGTGATTTATTAGCACAATGTGGTACTGTTTGCCATTTAAAACTAGAACAGGTGTATAAGCTAGTATCGACACAGTGATGATTAACTATGAACTATTAAGACTTGCCTTTAATGTGACGCTCGGAAGAAGCAACGGCGAATTTAAAAAAAAAAAAAGAGGAAAAAAAGCAAAAGAGTAGCAGTATCTGTCTGTGCTCCCTAAAAGTTGTCCTTCATTTTTTTTTTTTTCCCATGCTCTGTGTGCTATTTGTGTTGACGTGGAAGAGGATTCCTTGTTTTATTCTTAAGCTAGCGCCCGCCCCGGTTGGTGTTCAAATAGCACTTGACTCTGCCTGTGATGTCTGTACCTTTTCTTTAATCGAAGGTACAGAGGTTGAGTATAAAATAAGACTGCTCAGATTGGACAATTAAGTGCACTGTACAATTTTCCCAGTTTACAGGTCTATACTTTAAGGGAAAAGTTGCAAGAATGCTGAAAAAAATAATAATAATAAAAAAAAAAAATCGAACGTGATCTC